CACACACCCCCCCCCCCCCCCCCCCCCCCGTTTTAACCCCAAGAAGTAAAAACAACAACAAAAAACAAACAAACCAACTAAAAAACAACATCAAAAATTCCAAAATATAAGAATTACATATTTTAAAACAAATTGTTGATGACTCAATATTATATTTTAGTTACATGTGGTCTGTTTCTTTTAATGCACAATTGAATTGTGCCTACAATATGTCCTTTAGCAATTTTTGGAATGTACACGCCTAAAAACATTCCTTTGAAGATAGCCATTTCGTTCTTTTAATTATTTTCCCACTGGTTTAAATTGTTTTGATTGCAAGCTGATTTTAAAAAGAAAAATAATAAAAACATTTTTTTTAAAAAGATTCATTTCGTTTGTTACCAGATGGTCTATACTCTAATTGTTGAGTTGCTATGTTAAAAAACATGATATTGTAATAAGCTATTTCAAAACGTTCACTCTTGGGAGCTTTATTATATATATATATATATATATATATATATATATAAGTTTGGGCAACCCCGTGTGCAATACTGGGGACTCCATGTTAGGCAGTGCTTCCCAACCTTTTTGTGCCATGCCCAACCTAAGCCTTTTTAATATTCTTAAGCAACCACCCCCCCCCCCCATTTAATATATATTTACATCATTTTTAATATTCTAAAATTAAATTACGCACTAAATGAAAACTAAATGATAGGTTTTAAGACGAAGGAAAACCAGGCCTAAGAATGAGTAGGTTTAACGAAGAGTTTTTTAAAGGAAACACAAAATGTAAACTTTCAAAACAAGCAACGTAGAACTGAAATTCAAGTACAAAATGAACGATTTTCTAAAACATTTTGCATATTTAGTATTTCATTTATTATTCAATACTACATATTAATACATATTAATGGGATCACAAATACGATGAGAGATCACAAAACCAGTGGGAGATGACTAATTTAATTTGAAACTTGCGCTTGGTGCCTGCCTATGTTAGGCTCCAATTTAAAAATCTTCAGGCTCAAGTCTCCCCGTTGTGTTTTATCCAGTCAGTTGTTTTTCTTAGCTGCAAATCACGTGTGGCACTAAATCCACATTGAGCTAAATATGAAGATGCAAACGGTAACAAGATCTGTCTAGCGCGTTTTTTAAAAATATGATCTCTATAAAAGTGGTCACGGGGCTAATGCCGGCCATTCCAGCGAACACGTATCTAATCAGACGAGAAACAAAGCTCAAGGTCTATAGCGCAGCAGTCCTCCCGACACTGCTCTATGGATGTGAAACGTGGACTATCTACCAGCGTCACGTCAAGAAACTGAATCATTTTCACACTAAATGCCCCAGGAAACTCCCCGACACCGAGGTCCTCGCTAGAGCGAACCTACCTAGTATCTTCACCACTCTGATGCAGTCTCAGCTCCGTTGGATGGGACACGTAGCCCGTATGGAAGACCACCGGCTCCCGAAACAATTATTCTTCGGAGAACACAAGCGCAAGCGCTCCCAAGGAGGTAAAAAAAAAAAAAAAAACGTTACAAAGACTCACTGAAAGTGGCACTAAAGGCTTTCAGCATAAACCCTACTCAATGGGTGCAGCAGACAGCCCAGGACAGAGCCAGGTGGAGAGCTGCTGTCAAGAAGGGGGCTAAATCCCTTGAAGCTAATAGAAACCACAGCTGAGACACGCAGGCTTGTCCGAAAGAGCAACATTAGGTCATCGTCTGAAGCAACTATTCCATGCCCACGGTGTCATAGATTATTCCGAGCAAGGATCGGTCTAGCAAGCCACCTAATAGCTCACCGTAATCCCAACCTCCCCCTAACCGGATGACTCGATGGTCCTAGTCGACTTCGACGGACGAGCAACAATCTAACCCCGCAGAACAATGATAAATGCTTCACCGTGCCTCGGCGTAACACAGTTCAATATAAACAGTCATTCTTCCCACGAACAATAATTGCTTGGAACAAACTGGACAATGCCGCCGTGGACTCGACATCAATCGAGAGTTTCAAGGCTGCCCTGGCACCCGCTAGGAGCCGTTAGGATGGCCGTATCGTTTCCCAAACCGTTGCACATATGCCAGGACTTGGTTGAAGTCTATCAGAATCAGAATCTTCAGTAACAAGTATCGCGGTATTAGCACGTCATATTTTTTGAGACAATGAAAATTTTCAACATTTTTGTTACAAACATATTTCTGACATAAATCAATAAGTGTAATAAAACCAAACATCTTTGCTTTTGCGTGGACAAGAGCTTTACTTGCTCTTTGAAGTTAGTTATTTAATATATTTAGTTTTTCAAAGATATTGGATAAATAAGTTCCAAATCCTTTGCGATCAACTGTTAACAGCTATCTTCATTTCGATTCGCACCCGAAATTTTGAAATGCCACCTTAAAATTGTCTGAAAGAAATCACAAATTCAAGCATGCACCAAACTAATGCATGCCTGTATTTTGAGTTTGTACGACTGTCATCCGCACCCTAAATTATGCACCCCTTCCATCACGCTGATCAATGCTACAGTATTGGGGGGGGGGGGTGATTATAACCTTGTGCCTAATGGTTACCCAGGGGCACGCCCCAAACGGAGTAAATTCAGTTTATAAATGGCACTGGGCTAATTAATAACTCCCACAAAAGCTTTAAACTGTTCTTTCCTGTTCAAAAGGTATAACAGAAACATTGAATCAAAGTTTACTCAACAATACACCTCTTGATTTTTAAATTATAAAAACTTTTCTGGAGAGCAGGCTCCCCAAAACCCCACCACCGATCAAGATTCATCGGCGCCCTCGATTTCCGCCCTATTTCTCGATAAAAATGATCGCCGATTTTGGTATCGAGGCGTAGCTACTATTAAGGCTGCCATGAGCGGTAAAATATTTTTGCCGTCCTCCCTTTCATGATACAAACTCTGCAGTTGTCCAAAAATGCCACACCAGCATATAAAGAAAAAGTGACACCTGGGTGGACCACTCCATCCGCCCTATTTCGACGCCACTTGCAGGGGCGTATCTACAGTGTTTGGCGTCAGGGGAAAAATTTCATTTTTACGCCCCTCACCCAACTCTAAAACCCATGGTTTTCAACAATTAAAACCATCAAAGCCCATTTTTGCCCCACCCCCCGGCTAGCCACCCCCCTGAAAATCTGGAGTCCGCCCCCCTCCCGGCGGAAAATTTTTGAAAGAAACACTTATTGCCCTGCTCTTCTACTGTTATATTGGCTGATACATGCATGTCTAATGAAACGAATTAAATTAAAAAATGATAAGATACAATGATAAACACATTCAAAGAAACAATTTAACGACCACCCCCCGCCCCTCACCCCCCACCACCCCCACCCCCCCCCCCAAAAAAAAGAAAAGAAAAACAATCTAAATATTACGACTTTACCTTCTAATAAAAAAGAGTGTACAATTTCTTGGAATCCAAAATGAAAAACCACGCCCAGGGCTGCATAACTCAACAAGCCATTTAGCGGAGCTTTGAACCATGGACATGATCATGATTAGTATTTGAAGTTTGGAAAGGCATTGAGTAACTATAAGTTAAACTTTACACATAAGGAAACTTATCTAGTAGTAGTAGTGTAAGAGTAAGAGTGTAAGTGAACATAAAACTGAGGCCTACTTTTTTATTTTCCTTACTCAATGATACTGAATGTCAATGACTGAGACTGAGAAGAACGGTATTAGTATTATTCTTGGTAACTGTATCAGTAGGTATAGACTGTAAAAAAAAAATTGAAGAAAATAAAAGTAGCGTTTATAAACTTATATAGCCTATACATTATCGGCAATACCATTTATAACAAAATGTTTGTTGTAAATCCCTGATGTTTTAAATTTTATAACATTATTTTAACAAATAATTTTTAATGTTAGTAACAATGGTTATTGACTATTGACAATTGAGACTATTGTCTGGACTCACAGTCTAAGTCTAGTGAAAGTATCAATTCAATTTCAATAACTATAACAATTTGTTGGCCTACTCATGTCGATAGTAACATTGTAATGAATCCCATATTATAGTTATAATAATGCTTTTGTTTTATTCCTATAAAATTTAAATAGTATTTCACTGTTAGTAGTTTAAGTAAGAGGAAGTGTTTGAAAAGAAAACCAAGAGGAGAGACATACATCATTCATCAGCAAGTTAGTTAATAACTTAGTCTTAGTAAGTGATTAAGTTTGTAATTGTAAGTCTGTATAGTAGTAGGCCTATAATTCAATGACTTTATTTTTAATAAGACTAAGAATAAGAACTTCTTTCTTTAAATAATATATTTGGTGGTCTTTGTTTTAATTTTATTACTATATTATAATATAATTCACCAATAACTAGAACAAAAATTTTTGAAATACACCTCTAGTAGGCACTCCAACTCAAATTTTCAAATACATCTGACATACACAAAGAGCATAATCATTGGAAAGAGCTGGCTCTAAGCTTTCCAATGACACCAAGATAATCTTTCTATCACTTATAGGAGAAAAGTTATGAATTTTTTAGTGATTTATTTTTCCCCACTATTCGGCTTTATAGCCTATTTAATTTTTAAGACTGTGATCGCATTATTAATCTTTTTGTACTATTTTGCTTGTATCTTTTTGGCTATTAAAGTTAGAGCTCTCAAATTTGGAGGAAACATTTACAATACAATGTTTAAAAAAAACAAAACACATGAATTGTGAATTAACTTGGTATATTTTATTAAATATGATTTTATGAGCACATGGTGTGGATAACGACAATTGTCGAAAAATTTAATTTTACAAAAAATTACATGATTACTAAACCAATAAAGCTATTGCTATAACATTTTCAATACAAACAGATAATGTCCATCTAAATATAAGGCACATGTAAAATAAATAAAATACAGATAAGAAAAATTTGTGCAATTTTAGAAAAATATTTCATTAAAAGCAACCGCGGCCGAGAAATTTTTACATTTAAATAAATAACTTTTAAACTAATGAAGCCACTGCAATCAAACTTTCAGTAAAAATAGTTTGTGACAATCCAAATGTAACAGAATATTCAAATGTTGAAAATGCAAATAAAATCATGCTATACAAAATTTTAAAATATTATGTAATCTGTCGACATTTTGATGTACATTTTTAAGCAGAACTTTTTAACTAACAATGCTAATTCAATAAAATCTTCAGTACAAATAGACAGTAACAATCTAAATTTAATAACATATTTAAATACAAAAACAATAATTCAGAACATTTTATATAAAATAAATATGAATCTTCATCATCATTATTGTACCGGTGCATTTAAATACAAAACAAAAAACATCGGATGCCAATGCAATGTAGCAATCCACGGTCCACAGCAAAGATTGTATCCTTGTCCACCTGAAAGTATACAAAATATTAAAATTAAATTCTACAATGAGTGAATAAATTTAATCAAAACATAATTAAACAAAATGAAAATCTCCCATAAGAACTTTAGAAACTAAACGTGATTCCACCTGAAAGTATACAAAATATTAAAAAATAAATTTTACAATGAGCCAACTGATATTCAAATAAATTTTATAAAAACACAATTTAACAAATAGAAAATCTCCCATAAAAACATCAGAAACCAAATGAATGAGAGTCCACCTGAAAATATACAAAATATTAAATTTTACAATGGGCAAACTGAAAATTCAAATAAATCTCATCAAAACACAATCAAACAAAATGAAAATTCCCAAAATACACATTATTTTCTTCCCCTTGTTCCCCTTGCACTTAAATACTCCAAGACGTCTTACCCTTACATCTATCCAGAAATACAACCCCCAAACATCTCCCATTTACCAACATACTTTCTAAGTTATATCTCACCCTCCTCACATAGCAGCTGGGAAAAATAATTAAAATGCCTTTATGCTTCTGATCCCATTTACAATGCATCCTTCAAACAAATAATTGAAATCACTCATTTAATCTAAAATAACTTTAAAAAAATAATAATTATGGCTTGGGACATCGCTCAAGTTTCAAATATGGTGCTTCTGGTATATTAAATAATAAGTGCCTAATACTAATATAAATTATTTTTTACTAGATTATTTACATTTTGTTTATTATATTTCCAATTAATTTTATAGTTGTTTTGTAAAAAATAAATTTATACAGTGTGTTTTTACTTTTTCAATAGATTTTGTTATAAGAGTTTAATGACTTAACAATGTTATGGGAAGGGGTGATCTTGATTTTCATCATCATCATCATCATAGCAGTGATATGGTATTTTGTCAATACTGAAATGTGCCACAAATGGTTTAAAACAGGTAATTGTTTTCTTTCAAATTTTCTAAAAGCTGTTGTTTTTCAAATAAAAAATATAAATTCTTTAACCCGAGGAGAGTTTTGGAAAAAACATTATTATAACTAAATGAAGATTTTTAAATTGTTTTTTTATTGATGAATAATAATAATTTAGTTTTAATTTATTAAATTTCCAATTAATTTTATAATTATTTAAAAAAAATTTGATTTTTAAAAATTAACTAACAACCATAAGTGTTTTTAATACATTTTTTATTTGATTCTAAGCTCTTCAAAAATTACATTTGAAATAAAAGTTACAAACACTGTAAAATGTCATTAATTGTTGATGGAGCATAAAATTATGATATATGGACGCTAAGCAGGGTTAGTGCCACCTTGAGTGTGCCAACTTTTATGCTGCTACTTTCCCACAAAAAAACTATGCTGTTGAGAAACAATTTGATAACTTTTTTGCAAGTGTATAAGCTGCAGGTTTTCTTTAATAAAGGAATTTAAAATTTTACAAAATAAATGGTTTAATTAAAATACCAGAACTAAATTTTGTCTTTGTTGTCTGACCCTTTAAGTTGTGCATTTTTGTTGGTTCACATAGGTCACCTGTTTTACAGTACTTTATGAACATAAAAAATATAACTGCTAAATGATAACAAAACGTTATACTTCAATGTTTTTTTGCCATTTACTTGGTTTTATTTTTTTAAGCAACCGACGGTGTAAGAAAAAAGTATTCTGATATGAGGAAAAAGGAAAACTCACTTCATTTTCTTCACACCCAAAGAGCTGCCAGAATAAAAACTTCTATACTGGAAAAAAATAGAGAGCTATCATTATCTTTGGAGCTAGCCAGAAAGAGCTTAATTCTCAAAGTACGTTATATTGATTTGTCGGTTAAGAGTGACTGGTGTATTATAACTTGATTTTTTTTCTTACCTTTTTATGTACCAAAGTTATTTTTAATGTAGAACTACAATTTCAAGGATAAATTTGTCAAAAATATCAATTTTAAGCATCACTTTAGATTTTTAATATAACGAAATTGAGTCCATGCATCATGTTTCGGTATTTTTCATGACTCGATTTTTGTCTGCCATATCAATTTTAAGCATCACTTTAGATTTTTAATATAACGAAATTGAGTCCGTGCATCATGTTTCGGTTTTGTTCATGACTCGATTTTTGTTTGGCATATTGCCAATCCTGTCGAACATCACTGAAGGCCAGTATTACAAATTGATCAAAAAAAAGGCTCAACATTTATCTTCCAATGATGTTTATTATTATATTTCAAGTCAAGAAGTGATACTACTCTGATAAAAACAAGAAGACATTACTAATGATTTTGGGCATTTTTAGCCTGATCAAATGTTTGCTGCTAGGGGTAAGCTTTTTTTTTTCTTTGTTATGATGGGTCAAAACCCATTCAAATTTAGTAGAAATAATGGAAAAAAATATATTTAATTTGATATACAGTGGGCTTCAAAAAATTGAAAATAAGTGTTTAAGCTTACTTATATTAATTTTTTGTTCCAGTTTATCAAGTGTATACTTTATTTTTTTCATGATTCATAGGCATTGTTTACATTGGGTATGCTAAGAAGAGGCAATTACTTTTTTGTCTCTAATTTATTCTGGATTAAAAACAGTTTTTAATTTTGATTGTTTTTATTTTTTATTGAATAATACATTTAGTTTTGCTAATTTTTTAAAAGCTATAAGATCTAAGCCTAGAAAATGTAATGCTTATATTTTATTACGGCTAAACTAGTTAACGATGCCACGGAAACATTTGTGTGTTTATTAAAGTTGCAGTGAATTAGGGTTCAGGTCAGGTTTAGGGATACATTTAGGATTCAGGTTAGGTTTAGGGATACATTTAGGGTTCAGGTTAGGTTTAGGGATATATTTAGGATTCAGGTTAGGTTTAGGGATACATTTAGGGTTCAGGTTAGGTTTAGGGATATATTTAGGATTCAGGTTAGGTTTAGGGATACATTTAGGGTTCAGGTTAGGTTTAGGGATATATTTAAGGTTCAGGTTAGGTTTAGGGATACATTTAAGGTTCAGGTTAGGTTTAGGGATACATTTAGGTTTCAATTTAGGTTTAGGGATACATTTAGGGTTCAGGTTAGGTTTAGTGATACATTTAGGGTTCAGGTTAGGTTTAGTGATACATTTATGGTTCAGGCTAGGTTTAATGATACATTTACTTAGATTTAGTGTCTTATCAACCAATATGGCGGCCATGTGGCATCTTCTCTCAAAATTTACCATTATTACAATTTCACAGTATTAGATTGGGCAACTCAATCATCATGGCAATGCTATTCCTGCCTTAAGACCTTAGCTACCCTAAACCTGTGTCCTAAAACAAGACAAGATAAGTAGTACCTTGAACTTCATCACTTTTCAACTGTATCAAAAAAGGCTGGAGATTCTTTGTAAATGTACACAACAACTTCAGCTGTAATGTAATGGCAACTAAGCTGACTTGATTTTAAAACTGGACATTCCAGTCCATGAACACAATATCTAACATTCATTGGACTTCTAATATACAAGCCTCAATGATGTGAATTTTTACTGGATGAAAGGATTTTTTTTTTCACTGGGTTATGAGGATATGGAATTCTTAAATTTTTAAAATTTAGGCCAATATACAGGCCCATGATTACATTTCTAAAAGAAAAACTGAGTAAATGCTGATAAGGAGGTAAAGGTCATTTCTTCTGGACCTGATGAAAAGCACATACGTGCAAATATGGTGCCTGTAACAACCATATTAAGTAATAGAGAGAAACAGGACAGGTTAGGTAAAACTCATTTCATAAATGTAACTCAATATGGGTATGGACCAGCATAACAGTAAAATGAATTATTGGCTCTGCTGTTATAAAATTTGTTAATAAAAAAATATCAGCTTTGGAATAAATAAAAATAATGTGGAAACAATGTGCTCAGTTGCAGGAAAAAAAACAATGGCCAAGAGCTTCTTTTTTTCATTTCAATGAATTTTCTAGTGTAAGACTTATTTTCATATTTCTTTTAACACTTGCCTTGTTTTCTTCAATTACCTTATTTACATAAAGGAAGAAATTAAAATAATTCACATTATTTTAAATTTATGAATGTATTATTAACGCTGGCATAATTAATATGAATGTTTGTAAATTGCTTGCAATTTGTATATTTATGATGTAAAATGGGATACCATTGATGGGAATAATAAAGATTTTAACTTTGGTCTCAAAAATTTTTTTTTTTCTTCCACCTGTTTGTGGTATGTTAATTTTTTTTTAATTTTGCACATCAAAAGACCAAATCTTTTGTCCTTAAAAATCAAAATCATGCTTAACTGTGATCTTATAATTGGTATCAAATATTAGATAGTAATAATAATGAATCCAATGATATATACAATGTTATTACTGCTCTGTTCTTCATTGAACAACCAGCGAGATTGTAAAGGTACCTAATGAGCGAAAAAAACAATGTCAGAAAAACCAAAGACCTCAGAAAAAGTGTTTTAAGTGAAGAAAAACAAACAGAAGAGGATGAAAGGTGCAGGAAGAGCTATTTAAAGAGTCATTTAGTTAGTGAACTTAAAAACCATATAAATATGGTGTCGAGTATGAGCATTCATTAGTAATTGCTGCGACTCAATATTATGCTCATTAGTTGTTGAACGCTTTTCCCGCGCTTGACTATTATGGTTAGTGAACGCTCTTCCCGCCATTGTCTCTATGACGTATTTTTATGCTGATTCGTGACGTATTGTCTATGCAGTATTGTGACGTATGTTTTAGTCCTGCGGCAGTCTTGAGTGGAACTTTGGAGTGATAGGATGTGTATTATTTAGGTCTGATAGCAAGCTGCGCTATATTCACGTGTATGTGTATTATATTTACTTAGATATTAAAGTTATAGTTATTATGAAAATGAGTTGAGTTTGTTCAATGATAGTAGGAATAGTACGACGCTTCAACGTATGAAAAGAACTGACGAATGTAATCAATCCAAGAAGGCTGTATAGGAGTTGACATATGGCATGTAATGGACAAAAGGATGAGTTTGGCAAAACCAATAATTTTGACATCCCTGTTAAGGATAGTTTACCTTAATGATGGATTATAACCTTGATCATGGATCTGTAATATGGTTATAGCTTGTTTGAGATTCATTCACAACTAAACATAAAGATTAGTACATCGTCATATTTAGGCCTACATTTATTGGAAAGCATTGTCCATTACTTAATGATTAGTTGTGTAATGGACAATTCACTCACTACTGAAGATGACTCTTCATCATTATACACTACTAAGTAGTATGATAGACAAAAATGTAAGTTGTCCTTCCACATATTTAATCTACACGGTTCTTTTAAGTCTTGGTCTGTCTTTACACCCATCTGTAAGTCTTAGTCTGTCTATCAAGTATCATCATCTTTGTTGTAGGCTCTTAGAGTTGCACATTAATTTAGTTTTAATATAACCTTAGGGATGTTCTCATTCTATTTTATATTCAGCTGTCTTTTATAGTTAAGTTAAATTGGTTCTTCAAGCCATAATAACATTCCATTTGAAAAAAATACATTAGTTACTTTGTCATTTTAGACTATAATTCTCTCTTTATCCTGATTAGCTTGTTGTATATAAACTTTAACTATATATTATCCTCTTGATTTTAAGAAATCCTTGTCAGTGTTCTTATTTAGTAGTAAACTTCAGTTATCTGGATTTAAAATTGATACTTTCTTCTATTGACATATGCATTTATAAAGTAAAGTGACAACTCAAAATGGAAGAAAGACAATAAAATTAATTAGCTAGCAGTTCAAACTTCACAACAACCTAATTAATTCATCAGGGAAAGTTTTACCTTTACTTCATTCAACCCAGATATAGCTTTTAAATAGGCATAGGCCTAAAACTTTATTTGGTTAAAAAAGCATATTATTTCTTTTTGTTAATTTTTTTCTAGTCTAAATTTCCTAACTGTTTGGCAAAGCAAATAGCAAGGGGGTCTCAGATGGATAAACCTATGAGCAACAAGCTGAAAGATGCTGGTCAGAAGGAAAATGATTATATCACAGTGATGAAAGCGCAAAGCGTTAAAGGTATTAATGCTGATTATTTAATCTTCTCATTATTTCATGTATTTATTGGATAAGAAAACTAGCTTAGGCCTTCAAATTTTAAAAAAGAATATGTACTCTGCCTCAGTTGCTCATTTAGTACAGATGGCATCAAATGATAATTTTCAGTACCGGTAACTATGCCCAATTGAAATATAAAATCTAAAAGCTTTTCAAATAATTTTTTTTTTTTTTTTACATATAAAATTAGGTCTACTTTTAATATACCAATCATTTCCTTGTTTTTGAGAAAGCATCTGTTTTTGTTGTTATTGTTTTACATAATCTAAGTGTAATAATTTTATACTCAATAATTGAAATAGTTAAGTGTAATCATATGAAAAAGTGAATTAATTTAATAAAATGCTCACTGTCTTTATCATAATGTCGACCATTGTCAAAATTTCTAACATTCTTTTAAATACCAGCATTAACTCTTAGTATTTAAAGAATTGTACAACAGAAAACAGCACACAACGGTATTTGTCCACTCAAGATGAGAAGCAATTGGTTTAAGATCTATCCTTTCCATACTTTTTATGTCTATTTAAAGACTCCACACCAATTTTAAATGCAATCATCCATAGCTAAAATATCTTAACAATACAAACTTTTATTCATAAGCTATTGACCAATTTGTTTGTAGCTCTGAGAACGGATTGTTGGGGTTGCTATGAGAAGTTTGATTCTTCAGAATGCACATGGTGCCCCAGTAAACATCAGATTTGTCTGCCTTGCATTAAGAGAGTCATAAAAAATTTCATGAATACAAAAGATCAAGTAAGAAATGTCGCACACGTTTTTATAAGTATCTTCCTTTTCTGTCTTTTATCATTGAATATTGTGTCCCTTTCCCCCCTCCCCAATAATGTTTTCCACCTTATTTTTTGGTCACTATCAAATTCAAAATGTAGCTGAAAGTTTTTATTGATAGAAGTAAATTAAGGCAGGTAGTATGACTTATAAATAAAAACTTAAATAAAATCAAGAGCCTACTACATAATATTAATATAAGTTTAATGAAGATTAGTAACCTAAAATTGCCATTTAGATAACCAGTTGTTCTAAGTGGACCGTGTGGTTTTGTTGTGATTAGACTTTAAAATATAATAAAGTATCCCAAATAACAACTGTGTTACCAATTAGTCAATCAAATAAATAGTCAATTACTCTTGTTAAAGTTCAGCATAAACTGTCTTATGCAAATGGATGGTGCTCTGTCAAAAAATTGTATGCCTCTTTTAGTAATCAGATTAACGATAGCAAATGTTATTAACTAAATAACTGATGACTGTAGCATTCATTTAAACTTTGTGAAAATAAAAACTATTAAATTTTTACAGATACATCTGACCTGTCCTGTTGAGACTTGTTGGGAAATAATTGACATTGGTAAGTTATCACCTAGTAATTTATATTTGAAAAAATTATCTTGCAATGTAATATGAGCAAGATACTTTTTAAGTAAAAATTCCAGCTCATTAGAATTTGGTCTACTCTGCTAGATATGTTTCATAACTTTAAAAATCAATTTACAAATGTTAACTTTAAATAATTTCAACAAATAAATTAATGTAGATATTTTTTTATTTTGCAATGTGTACAAAAAAAAAAGGCAGTTTATGAAAATATTATCTAACACAAATAACAGACTCACTAACACCCTACCTGGGGACAAAATGCAACTACCAAGAGTGTGAAAATTTTCAACAAAGCATGTGGCTGCTTGTTTAGGATGAAGATGAAGATGAAATTTTTATGGGGTGGGGATGGGTGGGAAGGACTGATAAATCTGTTTTCTTATATTTATTAAAACCTTTCAATTTTACTTTTACTTTCAGATCTTGTGACAAGACAAATTGATACACTTACTTTTGATTTACTTAATAGGAAACTCCTCAAAAGACAGGAAAAAGCCAATGAAGAAATGGTGGAGCATCTGTTTCAGAATATCAGGTTGGTGAAACTAATTTGTGACATCTTAATGGAAATCTGGAAACTGTAATAATTGAGGGACTGGGTTAAAGCTGTGTGAAGGAAATAGTGCAAAAAGGTATGTGAGAGTGAGAGCTTGAAATAGAAAGAGAGGCAATAAAAGACTAACGTTTCAGCTAAGTGCCCTTTTCAGTAGACTGGACAAATAAGGAAACAACAAGAAATAGACATTTGTTAAAAAAACCATAGTTGTTCACCATTAATGTTATTGCTGGAAATTGTAAGAAAGTTTAGTAACACTTTTAATTTTGATGAAAGCCTAAATTATTTGTTGTTGGGATTTCATTGACTCAAACTTTAACATTTTGTTTTTTTATGACTTAACTCCTGTTTGGTTTAATGCTACACTAAACAAATAGATTTAATTTCATGTCTCCTCACTGGAATGCTGAAAAGAACAGAATACAAAGAAAAACATCACCACTTGTTCCAAATTTATATTTACCCGATGCTTCATAATTAATTAATTATTTCTTTGTTTATGTTAAAATTACATATTTTAACTTGATTTATTGGAGCAGCTGTTCTTTATTAAATATAATCCACTTTAGGGAATGGCAACCATAAGTCTTGAAAAAATATTATTGGTAATTCAAAACAACATTGTGGATGCAGAATTCTTTGGTTCTTTTTAGCCTCATAGAATATCTTTATAGTTCAGGGGTGTGGAAAAAAGGTGGGTTGATGTTGCAGATGGGATTATAGGGATTTATTATCATGAAGGCCTGGACATTTCAGATATCCATTAAAAAACTATAACAGCCTATAAAAATGTACTGCTCTAGAAATAAATAAGCTTTCTATATTTAAAAGAGCCTTCATTGTTTGTAAATAGAGGGAAGACTTTGAGGCAAAAATTGTTCTAATTCACAAAACATGACTAAGTGTAGAACACAAGGTAGATGATGACCCAAACACTCTTGGGCTTTAGTGAAATGCAAACCTGGTCCAAGGAAAATATCCCCTCAAGAAACTTTTGCACAGTATGTTATAAATTCAAAATAAGGAAATGCTTTATGTGCCCATTTCAAAAAACTTTTTTTCTTTGAGTCTCAAGTATTTATAAACATGTACTGGGTATTAATAATTGAAATATTAATTTAATTTCAAGTTTTTAGAAATTTAGTACAAGTTTTTTTGCGATACTTAAATATAAACAAGATTAAAAGCTATATCAAAAAAGTTGGCTCTGAAAAATAAACTTTAAATATTAGAATTCATTGATTTATTCTGAAAAAATTAATATGAATTCATACTTATTGCATTACTTAACCATTCTTTATTCAGCTGTCTAGACTGCAAGAATGTTGCTAGTACGGATAAGAAGGCAACACACTTTAAATGCAGAAACTGTTCTAAAGTAAGTTACAATGGTAACTCATAGGGGAATATCAGCGATTGTGATTTTAAGGGAGATTAACTCAAGGGGATTTTCAACTGCCACAAGCATAAACTATAAGACTTCTTAATTGTTTCAACATATAGTGTTTTTCAGTATGCTTGATATGGGATAAATTCAGATAATTAAAGGGGGAAAATAGTTACAAAAGATCATTGAAATGTTTGGCAATTGCAAATGTCATGATGCTTTGAAAAATCCTCTAAAGTAATGTCTCAAGTCTTTGATCTTTGTCATATCCTTCTTTTCAATTTAAAATGCCCCTTTTTTAAAAATCTACATACAAGTTTATGTTCTCCCTTTAAGATTTAGTTTGCTTTGCTCTTGATTTAAATGAATCTGATGAGTTCAAATTAGTTAACAATGCAAAAAGGAATAAGACCTTGCGCCAAAAGGAAAAAAATTAGCACAGATTGGTTCCGCAAGGATCTCCTTGAACACCTGTTAACTATCAGGTTATAAATCTGTCTGGTTGTTGTCATTTTGAATGGAACTATATTAGGTAGCCCCTCTTTGGCTCTGGCAGACATAGGGCAGTAACTGTTTTTTGTTTGTTAAATATCTAAATTATATTTATTTTGTAATTATTTCTAGTCATAAAGACAATATTTTGTGTGTGTTCTTATAGTTACTATGTAGATCTGAAATTGGATATGGTTCATTATTTTCTTTTTTATAAGATAACTTTAAAACTGTTATTTCATGTTCTCCACATAGTTTGTTTTACAGATGTAGCTTTCTTCATCAAAATCAAATTCTTAAACCATTATTTTGTAAGGTTTCTTTGCTATACTCTCAAAGTTTAAACTTCTGTTTGATAAAGTAATTCATTAAATGTTCCTCATCTGGAAGTGTTTGAGTTTTTAAAATTAATTCTGTTCATCAAAAACCAGGATAGTTTTCAATGGCAACATTTGCTGATATTGCATGATTCAACAGTAAGTCTTATAGTTACCAATTCCTATTGATGAATGATGCAGTGATAGTTGATTAAGGATCTGTAATATGGTTCCAGTTCTTTTGAGATACAGTCACAACTATACTTAATGATTAGTACATTGTCATCTGTACATTGGAACACTATGTCCATTAAATAACTATTGGTTTTGTAACGGGCTATTCACTCATTGGATGAGCTGAGGATGACTCTTTATCACTGTAAGCTACTAGACAGTGTAAGTTGCCCAGTCTCATCATTAATTTACACCCTTCTGTAAGTCTTAGTCTGTATTTACATGCTTCTGTAAATCTTAGTTTGTCTATCATGTATCATCATCTTTCTTGTAGGCTCGTAGAGATTCACATTGTTTTAGTTTTAATCTTTCCTTAGGGATGTTCTCATTCACTACTATAATCATCTGTCCTTTATAAAACAGTTTAATTGGTTCCTTAAGCCATACAAAATGTTTCATTTCAAAAGATGATTTTTACTTTGATATTTAGAATATAATTCTCTCCTTTCCCTGATTACCTTTTTTGTATATAAACTTATAACTATATATTATCATCTTTATTTTCACAAATCCTTCTCAATGCCCTTATTTAGTTCCGGTTGTAAACTTAAATTATTTGTGTGTAAAAATTGTCTCTGGCTTCTCCTGCCATAAATACTATACATTATATAAAGGGGAAATGTGTGGCTTTCTTTGTTCCGCCTATATTTCTATATGGATTGATGGATCTTGACTAAACTTGGCACACATATCCATCATTACCCAGTCTGAAATTCTTGGGGGCTTTGAACTTCAAAAAATGTTTAGTTTGGGGACCCGGGCCCTCAATTCATTTTATTCTTATATGAATATGAGATATATAAATATATAAATAAAGTAATACCAATAAATCCTCCTACATGAATGGTCCAGTTTTTAAAAACTTATAAGCTATATAAATAACAGTCGGCTTATTTAATTGTATAATCTTATATGTGAATTGATGGATGTAGGCCTAGCTTGTTAGTCACACCCTTAAAGGTCCATGATGAAATATCAATGAATTTAAAATTGATAATATCCAATCCATTCAGGACCGTTCTAGAATTTTCCAGAAATTTCCATATTTTAAAATGGCATTTTTAAACCGATTTTAATGGGAGAACTTTAAAATTTCAACTCCATTATTTATCTGAAGAAATTTTATAGGGCCCCCCATCTCAGGCATAACTATAACTATAATGGTAACTTATGGAATGGTTCCCCACCCGGGCCCCTCTGTTAACTGAAATGAAAAAATGGGTGTGGTTAAATCATTTAGTTTTAGAATTTTTCTTTTTTGAAAAATAATTACTTAGAAAAGTAATTTTTCACACATTTATACTTGGTTATTAAATTTAATCTTGAACGTTCCAGAAAGTTCTATATTGTTCCACAGAGATATAAAGCGGGGATCTAAAATCTTATGCAAATGTTAGTTTAGTTCTATTCATTTCTATACTTTCCTGGGGATTTTCTCAGTATCACTGCGTCATCTTTTTATAAGTTTCATAAATTATGAAGTTTCTACATTATTCTAGAAGCTTTGATTTTTTTTCTATATTCTTTTTAAGAATATATAAATGCCCTTATTATTATTAATATGCCCTTATTATTAATTTGTCATTAACTTTCATTGAATTTCCTCAAATGTTATGGAATAAGAATTGAAGAAAATTGTGTAAGTTTCTAGAAAGTTCCAAATTAATTTTCCATTGTTATGGCCTAAGCTATACACATATAAATGAAGTTGAAGGCTGAAATTATAGTATACACTACAATACACGTATTTAGGCCAAAGTTGGTAAACGTACTCTTCATAATCCCACCGGGGAACAGAATCTCATGCTGAACGTGATCCCACAGAGGAACAAGGAACCTAACTGAGAAAAATGTGATCCCACCTGGTAACAGTACCACAACAGAGGACATATCCCCTCATAAATGGGATTTTATGGGAACAGGATCCCACCAAGGATCACATTGATAAACAGGATCCCACCAAGAAAAACAGGATCCCACCAAGAACGTGATCCCTAGTGTAAACTGAATCCCATCAGCAATCAGGATCCCATGGGATTGGGATCCCAATTGGATCATAATCCTACTGGGAATAGAACCTGATCAGGAAATGGGATCTCATCTGGGAATGGGATCCTATCAGGAAATGGGATCTACCAGGATTGGAATCCCATCCAGATCTGAATCCAAATGGAAATTGGGATCCCTTTGAGATCATATTTTATACGTTTTTTTAGAGGACAAAATTTAACATTGTAATATTTTTTCTTAGATATATGTTTTTACATACTCCTTAATTTCAACGTTAGCTAAATTCCTGTGGAAATTATTTTTCTGAATGCAATTCACAGAAAAAGCTGTGTATATTGGCTAGTGTCTTAATAAATTTATAAAGTACAGTGACAACTGACAATGAAAGAAATGCAACAAAAATAATTAGTCAGAAATTAGCTATTCACACTTCATGAGGAACTTAATTAATTCATCAGGGAATCTGATTTTAACTGGTTGAAATTTCATCTCTTATAAAAATAATACTTTTATTTGTCATTATTGAAATTTTACACAATTAAATGAATTATGGATTTAATTTTGTAAAAAACTTTAAAATTGTTTCCAGGCTTTGCTATTCCACAAATTAGTCAGTACTGTATCAACATTTATAAAATGAAAAAGTTAAGCATATGTCTAAAACATTATTTGTTTAAAAAATCATATTATATCTTTATGTACATTTTTTTCAAATCTAAATTTCCTAACAATTTGGCAGCTGAAGAAACTTATGAGCAACAAGCTGAAGTATGCTGGTCAGAAGGAAAACGGTTATATTACAGAAATGGGAACAGACAGCATTCAAGGTACTATGCTGGGGACTTAATCTTCTCTTTCTTGTTATGTATTTATTGGATTAAAAAACAACTATTTTTAGTCTTTTATTTTAAAAAAAATTGTAACAAATACTTTTATACTGCCTTAGTTGCTCATTTAGTACAGATGGCATCACATGGTGATTTCCAATAAATATTCCCAATTTAAATATATAATCTAAAAGCATGGCAAATAATTTTTCTGATAATTGTTTAGTATATATTGGAATATAAAATTAAGTCTACATTTATTAAAACAATTATTTCCTTATTCTTGAGAAAGTATCTATTTTTGTTGTTACTGTTGTTGTACATAATCTAATTGTAATTTTATATTTAATAATTGCAACAGTTAAGTGAAATTATTACATACAATTATGAATTCATTTAAACAAATGTTCACTGTCTTTATCATAAAGGTGACCATTGTCAAAAATTCTATCCTTATTCTCTTACCAGAATTAATTCTTAGTATTTAAAAAATTGTACAACAGAAAGCAGTTTACTAAGTTTTTGTCCGTTCAAGATGAGAAGCAAATGATTTAAGATATATCTTTTCCACACTTTTTATATTTTTTGTTTTGCACTCTTAGGAAAATTCATCAAATTTTAAAAAATATTCAGAGTGCTTAACCCTCCAAACCACTTATAAACATCAATGCAATAATCCATAGCTGTAGTATCTTACAAGACAAACTTTTATTCGTAAGATATTTACAAATCTGTTTGTAGTTCTAGGAATGGATTGTCGGGGTTGCCATGAGAAGTTTGATTCTTCCGAGTGCACCTGGTGCCCCAGGAAACATCAGATTTGTCTGCCTTGCATTAAGAGAGTCATAAAAAATTTCATGAACGTAAAAGATCAAGTAAGAAATGGCGCACACGTTTTTATAAGTTCTTTTCCTTTTCTCTCTTTTATCCTCGAATATTGTGATCATATCATGTTTGCCACAACTTTAGTTTGGTCACCATCAAATTTAAAATGGAACTGAAAGGGTTTATTGAAGATGGGAAGGAGGGCAGTTGTGATAGAAGAAAAATTATGGCAGCTGTTGTCTATTCTGGAACTTTGGCTTGTATACAAATAAATAAAATCAAGAGCCTACTACAGAATGTCAATATGAGTTCAAAGAAAATTAGTATTAAAATATTAATATTAGTATTATTATTAGTTTTAAAAAACTTCTGAAATTTGAGTTTATCTCAAATTGCCATTCAGATAACCCGTTGTACTCAGTTAACTGTTTAAGAGAGTAGTTTTGTTATGATTATACATTTAAAAATAACAATTATTTCAAAGGACAATTGTGTTACCAATTAGTTAATCAAATAAATAATCTCGAATTAAAGTACAGCACAAATTGTCTTATGCAAGAGGATGTTGCTCTATAAAAAACTGTTATGCCTCTTTTATTAATTTGATTAACAGTAGCAAATCTTATTAACGAAATAATTGATGACTGTAGCATTCATTTAAACTTTGTGAAAACTTACTTAACAATAACTATTAATTTTGTGCAGATACATCTGACCTGTCCTGTTGAGACTTGTTGGGAAATAATTGACATTGGTAAGTTATCACCTTTTAATTTATTTTTGAATAATATATTTCAATGTAATTTCCACTATGTAGTTTTTAAATAAAAATTCCAAGTATTAGAATTTGGTTTACTCTGCTAGACATGTTTCATAAATTTAAAAAGGAATTTACATTAGTTAACTTTTAATAAGATTAAATCACAGTATATATCTATGCATTCTTACCCTTGAAATCTTATGCAAAATTGCAGTTTATGAAAAATTATCTACCAGAAAAGACAAACTTCTCCAAGTGTTTGAAAATTTTCTTCAAAGCATTGGGCCAAAATTCACATAACCAGGTGGCTTCTGGTTTGGGATGAAGATGATGATGAAATATTTAGAGGGTGGTGATGGGTTGGAGAGAGGGAAGTACTGATAAATCCACTGTATTATTTTTATTAAAACCTTGCATTTTTACTTTCAGAACTTGTGACAAGACAAATAGACCCCCTTACTTATGATTTGCTTAATAAGAAACTCCTCAATAGACAGGAAAGTGCCAGTGAAGAAGTGGAAGAGTATCTGTATCAGAAAATCAGGTTAGTGAAAAAGATTTGTGACCTATTAATTTAATCTGGAAATTGTAAGTAAGGAAGCTTTGTGACACTTTGAATTCCATGAAAGCCTAAATTATTTGATCTTGGGTTTTAAAAATTTCATTGACCAAAACTTTTTTTACATGTTAATTTTTTTTATTACTAAACTTCTCTTTGTTTTTATGCTTCATTAGACAAATAAATTTAATTTCTTGGTTCCTCTATGGAATGCTGAAAGGACAGAATACAAAAAAATACATCACCACTTGTTCCATAGCTATATTTACGAGACGCTTCATAATTACTTATTTATTTAATTATAATTAATTATTTCTTTGCTTATTTTTAAATTACATATTTTCACTTGATTTTTTGGAGCAGCTGTTTTCTTATTAAATAAAATACACTTTAGTCCATTGCAAAAGGCTATTGGTCTTGAAAAAATAATATTAGACTAGTAATTCAAAACAACATTGTGGATGCAGAATTCTTTGGTTGTTTTTAGTCTCATAGAATATCTTTATAATTCAGGGGTGTGGGAAAAAGGGTGGCTTGATTTTGCAAATGGGAATATTGGGATTTATCATCATTTAGGCTTGGACGTTTCAGATATCCATTGCAGCCTATAAAGTGCACTACACTAGAAATAAATAAGCTTTCCATACTTAAATGGGCCTACATTGATTGTAATGAAAGGGAAGACTTTGAGGAAATCATTGTTTGAATTCTTATGCAACAAAACATGACTAGATATGAGAACACGAGGTAGAAGATGATTCAAACGCACTTGGGCTTGAGTGAATTGTAAACCTGGGACCAGGGAAATTATCCCCTCAAGAAACATTATCATAGTACACTACAAATTCAAAATAAAGAAGAGCTTAATGTGCCCATAACAAAAATCCTTTTTCTTCAAGTCTTAAATATTAAAAAAACAAACTAAGTCTTAATAATAAAAATGATAATTGAATTTTAATTTTCTTTATTTGAAAATGTATTACCAATTTGTGTGATAATTAAATATAGAAAAATAAAAAGCCATATAAAAAAATGTTTGTTCTTAAGAAAAGTGATTTGATTTGTTGGAAGAAAAAAAAGTTATTAGAATTAATTGAACTATTCTGAAAAATTGTTATGATCACATACTTATTGCATAACTTAAAAATACTCTTTATTCAGCTGTCTAAGCTGCAAGACTATTGCAGCTATGGATAAGAAGGCAATACACTTTAAATGTCGAAACTGTTCTAAAGTAAGTAACATTGTGATTTTAAAATTAATTAGGATTTGTGTGTGTGCTAAAAACAAAGTTTTAAATGCTTGGGATTTAGGCGGATTAAAAAAGATGTTACTATATAAACTACAGTAGTTAAAGTTTATAATAACAATAAAATGACTTATGAAAAGCAACAAAGGATATTGACACCAAGCCCCATTGCAGAAAAAAAAAGTATTTTTGCATATTGTTTTAGTGATCACATCACATTAAAATAATTGTGGAGTTCAGTGGAAATGGGGCCAATGTTTATGCAGACTTTATTTTATGTTGTTTATAATTGCTTTGTTTAATTAATAAATAACATTAATCCAAAAACATGTTTAATTTTGGTGCATTTTTTACTTTGCATAAAGTTTTTAAAAAAATAATACAATGAGCAACTTTTATTTTAGATATAGGCCTACTTCATAAGGTTATCATTTACTTATTCAGGAATATTGTAGTTACTGTCACAAAGATTGGCCTGGAAGTAACTTACACAATGAGTGCAGACTCCTGAATTGTTCTGGCACCAAATGTTTTCAGGAGCTCCACGTACCTCCAGATAATTGGGAAGAAAGTTACTCAGCATTGAACATAGAGCAGGTCAGTTGGATGAAATGTAATAAAACATGGTCTGCTTCATTTGTGGATTCAGTTTAGCCCACAGATAATAAAAACTGTTTTGTTTTAAGAAGGGTTCTTCTAAGGAAGCTCTTATGTCATGCCACTAATATTTGAGGCAACTACAATCCCTTATATATAGCTAACTGCGTTTCCTCGGTTAGGAAGGGGGCAAGTTGAATTGGTCAATTTAATCTACTCTAACCCTAAGAAAAGCTAGCCAAGAGAAAGTAAACAAATTGTTTTAGGAAGAATGTCTAATAAATGGACTTTCGTGGTACCGTAATATGATTTTCCACACTTGTCCTTTCATGGTAGAAAGAAAAGCAGAATTTTACCATAGCCCAAAACAAGGCCACTGAATCAGAATGATGTTGAGGCTGTTTAATTATTTTAAAAAAAATTACCACAAGCATAAAACTATTACACTTCCTATGTGTTTTAAAGTATAGTTTTTTTTCAGTTGAACATTGGTGATGGATTATGGGTTTTAATTGAGATAATTAAAGGGGAAAAATTACAAAGCATCATTGAAATTGTTTGTAATTACAAATGTAGTGAAAACTTCGTATTTGTAAATAAAAACAAATGATGTTTTTGAAAAATCTTGTAAAGAAATGTTTCAAGTCTTTGATCTCAGTCTTGTCTTTGTTTTCAATTCAAAATTCCCCTGTGCTAAAAGTCTACATTTAAATTTATGCTCTCCCTTTAACATTTATGGTTGCCCTGCTCTTGATTTGATTTTATTAAAATTTGAAAAAAGAAATTTTTATTTTTAGAATGAGCTCAAAGGTCTGCCAAAAACCAGCTTGGTGAGTCTAAATGGGCGTGAAGGAAGAGCAATTATAAGTTTATTCATACAAACTTCACCTGATTTATGGATCACAAAGATAATCCGATTGCAAAATATGAAGCTCTGGGAAAAATATGTTTTGTAAGTAGAGTATTTAAATCGTATTTACCTATGGCACTTGTCTGAAAATTGAAATGACAAAGACAACTTTTTTTTTTAATAAAGCTCAAAATGAACTAACTTTTAATCAATTGACTATTATTTTTATTTAAAAAATCTGCCTGTCCCACACCACCCCCTTTCATATAAAGATAAAAATCACAAACTAATCCCTTATAGCAATGATACATCAAAAAATGAAATTTTGTAACATTAAATCATTTTAAAGAAAAAAGTGAGAAGTAAATGAACACTCTGATGAAAGAGAGGCTAAATGTTTTTCTTCACTTTTTCAATTTTACTAGATAATGAACAAAACGGCCCATAGGATCTTTTTCATCAGCGTGTTGTGTTGTTAGGATTAACACTTAAAGTCTGGAGACTAAAAGAAAGCAAAACTCCCAAAGAAGTTTATGTATGTTATTTATGACAGATGATTGGTTGAATCAATTAGCTTGCTGCAAATTAGTGAGGCTGTTGTTCCAGTCAGCTCAGATGTATCAGAATGTATATTGCAGTCGGCCAATAGGATTTAGTAAATCACCCGTCACCTGCCCTCCCACATTTGTTATACATTGCTTCATCGCATGGCTTACCAATTAGGTTAGTCATAGAGAATATGGATAGGATATGATCCAATAGCCATATGAGGCCTCCTGGCCATAGTTCTAATATAATGCTCTTAAACAGGGAAGAAATTCATCATCAAGTTTTTTTACTGCAATCGTGGCAGGGGGAGATCCTCAACGTGCCCCAACACAGTCTGGTATTAAGGGAGAGGGACCCGATTTCGGGGCTGGGTGGAGGTGCTTTGGGGAGGGCATTAAGAGCTTAAGCTTGACGGCCCACCGACGCCATTTCCTAATGTCATAATAATTGTAATCTTGGCACGCAATTTTAAATTACATAAAAATAAAAAAATAATATTAAAAAAATAATAAGTAAGTTGAATTTTGTTTTTTGACAACTTCCTGTCACCATCACATTTTTCCACCACTTCCGAGCCAAGTTCAGCAAATTTTCTTACCTCAATTTTTTCTTGTTTCATTTGATGATGATGGCTTCTTGCACAAAAGTTCATTATAATATCATTTTCTTCCTTGCAAGCTTTCCCATAACATGTTCTACCATTTTCAACAAATATGAGGTTTTTGACATTAGTGACCTTAAGATTTATCAAATAGGAAACGCAAGCACATGGTTGAGGAAATAGGCGTGTCCAACGTCAACGAGAGAGTCTTATTTCATGGAACAAATGAAAAAAATATTTCTCTTATTTCTGAAGAAGGCTTCGATATGAGGGTAGAAACTGCAAACGGAGCTCTGTTTGGCAAAGGTGAGAAATATAATTTATGGACAGACATTGCTTAGATTAAAACTGTTATATTTTTAAGAATTGAATTGTATTTTTTTTTATTTACAACTGCAACACTTGAATAATAGATTAATTCCCAATTGTGTTTGATGTTAAATTTCTTCAATGTTTATCGAGTTTGATTTTTTATTATGTGTTTCTTTGCTCCGATGTTTCTTTAGTGCTTGATAATATTGTTTTCTCCAGGTACCTATTTCAGTACAACATCAAAATATTCCCAAATATATTCAGGATCATCCAATAAAATGTTCATGGTCAGAGTGCTTTGTGGATACTCAGTCCAAGGGTCTGCATCATACAAACGGCCACCCAAGGACACGTCTGGTAGACTGTATGACAGCTGTGTGAATAATGAAAGTGGCCCAAATATTTACTGCCTCTTTGACAACTCTCAGTGTTACCCTGCCTACGTTATTGAGTATAAAAAGAAATAATAGTCATAATGTTGGATGTTGATAGTGATATGTATCTTTCTTATTTCATTTTATAATTATTCATTTTCCCTGTCATTAAATATCAGGGTATTATTTTTTATTTTTTTATTTTGTCAGGTTCATTATATTATAAAATATTTCTTATGATTTAAACACATTTCTCTGTATTGCTCTTTTGTTGTATAGTGAAAGGAAAATTTATAACATATCGCTAAAGTTTAGAGTTAGTTTGCCCATCAAAATCGATCAACACCATTTTAATCATCAGATTTGTGTTGGGGCTGATCTGTCTGTGGGGATGCTGATTCTGTCTGTGGGTGTGCTGATTCTGTCTGTTGGTGTGCTGATTCTGTCTGTGAGTGTGCTGATTCTGCCTGTGGGTATAGTAATTCTTTCTCTAGGTGCATTGATGACTGATTAGACCATTTCCTGCACGAAATGTCCTTGTGCTGTATGTGCAAGGAATGGATGGGACATCTCCAGGTGCAAAGTTAACTTTGACTTTTACATCCCCTCTGCAGCCACTGTTCTGTTGGCCTCATGTTGTATGCGTCCTTTGTTTACAGAGGAATGCCACGATAGTCCATCCTTTGTTTATTCTTCCCAAATGTCCGGGCTTATAACGAAGGGTTTCAGTGAGGCTTTTAGGCTGTATTTAAAATATTTCTTCTGTCCACAAGCAAACTGCCATCTTTACAGCAAGCTCGTCATGTTATGTTGTGGAAGCGGTCATCTGACATTTTCAATGCATTAAAATGGTATGGACACTGGGAGGATATGCTTGTTAGATTGAGTTGTGTTTTTTTTTTGTTACCAAAGTAAGTGTTTGAGATTTGGATGACAACTTTAAAAATGAAGGAGCTAATTTAATCTTCATTATTCAAATGTCATAAATTATTTTTTACACCATATATTCACTTAGTATGATTTTACTTTTGTATCATTTATTGTTTGTCCCTCAAATGTACCACTAGTCGTTTTAATGATCATTAGTTGATACTCTTTGTTTTGACAAGTCCACCTTTTGTTTGCAGTGGCGTATATCTTTATTCATGACACAAAATACTGAACCAGAATGTTTTATTTGTGTGATAATCAGGAATTCTATCCAAGTTGTTGATTATTTTGGTTCATATTCATTGATATGTATGGGATTTACGCTGTTGAATGTTATGCTGTAGACTTTTATAAATATTAACTGATCCTTTACATCTTCATTGGGGGGAGGGGGGGGGGAGAGCCCTTTCACAACTATGATCGGATTATTACTTAATTAATTCTACACACAATTATTTTTAAATCATTTCATTGATATGTATGGGATTTACGCTGTTGAATGTTATGCTGTAGACTTTTATAAATATTAACTGATCCTTTACATCTTCATTGGGGGGAGGGGGGGGGGAGAGCCCATTCACAACTATGATCGGATTATTACTTAATTAATTCTACACACAATTATTTTTAAATCACATGCTAGCATCAAAGCATATGCTTAAAGGATCTTGTTAATCTGTATATCAGTTGATCTGATAGCATTACTTTGAATTATTTGATCATGATCTTTTTAAGTCTTATCTACTCACAACACTGTCTCCCCACTCCACAAACACACACACACTTTTCCTTGCTCTTTACCCAGAGGAAAACACCACGTGATCATGACCTATTATAAATGAATGGTAAATACTGAGCACTGTGCAAAGAGAAGACAAATGTGTCTCGAACTAAGAGGAGACAAATGAGTCTCCGTCTAAGAAGAGACAGATGTGTCTCTATTTACGAGAAGACTAATGTGTCTATGTCTCCATTTAAGAGAAGACAAATGTGTCCATCTAAGAGAGGACAAATGTGTCTATCTAAGAGAGGACAAATGAGTCTATCTAAGAGAGGACTAATGTGTCTGTCTAAAAGAGGACAAATGTGTATCTAAAAGAGGACAAATGTGTCTATCTAAGAGAGGACAAATGTGTCTATCTAAGAGAAGACTAATGTGTCTGTATCTAAGAGAAGACAAATGTGTCTGTATCTAAGAGAAGACAAATGTGTCTATCTAAGAGAAGACAAATGTGTCTGTATCTAAGAGAAGACAAATGTGTCTGTCTAAGAGAGGACAAATGTGTCTATCTAAGAGAAGACTAATGTGTCTGTATCTAAGAGAAGACAAATGTGTCTATCTAAGAGAAGACTAATGTGCCTTTATCTAAGAGAAGACAAATGTATCCCTATCTAAGAGAAGACGCATTGTATGTGTCTCGATCTAAGAAAAGACACATTTGCCTCTATCTCAATGGACTTTTTTTTAGAAACTATCATTTAATTTTGATAAGATTTGGTTGTTTCTTTCCAGCTGTAGATAAATTCAAGTCATTTTTTTAAAAATGTTACTCAAATGTATAGTCCAATGATGACGTCACCCGCTCCCGCAACCAACAGCAAGGGAATTTGTACTCGTGCAGGTGTCATCTCCAGCTAAAGGAAAAGAGAGTCATAAATAGCTCGCATGGAATGAACACTCAGATTCTGATAGCGTACGTTTCTGTATCCATGTACCAGCATATGTGCAGCGGTTTGGGAAGCGATGCGGCCATCCTAACCGCTCCTAGCGGGTGCCAGGGCAGCCTTGAAACTCTCGATTGATGTTGAGTCCACGGCGGCATTTTCCAGTTGGTTCCAAGCGATTATTGTTCGTGGGAAGAATGATTGTTTATATTGAACTGTGTTACACCGAGGCACAGTGAAGCATTTACAATTGTTTCGGGTGTAACTGCTCATGGAGTTGTCAGAGGTGAAGTCAGTGTTTAGTGGGCGTTTGGCTCTGATTAAGCGACCTGGCTTCTGCGGAGTGAGATACGTGTTAGCTGGGATGGCCGACACTAGCCCCATGACCACTTAATATAAGAATATTAGGCGGAGCTTTTCTTGTCTGTCTTTGAAGGGGGGATGTGAAATCTTTTTAAGAGGTCAGTGACGAAACCAGGAGTGGTGGATTTGTGGTCACTTGTCGAAGCGCACTGCGTTAAGTTGTATTCGCTCCATCTTGTCCACGTCCTGCTTTAGGTGTGGGTCCCAGATGATCTCACCATATTATAGTAGTGGACGTCTGAAGAATAACGCTATACAGGTGTTTGTGCACCATGGTGCGCATTCCGTAAATGGGACCTATTAATGACAGATAACGCCGCTACACACGTCCAACTATTATCGCTCTGTTGGCCTCGATCTGATTTTTCAACGTCTTATTCAAACAAAAAGTGTAACGTCACGTGTGTTTATTGAAAGATTGTGTTACAAGTTATTAGAGTTCATAGACCAAGCCCTGATTACGACCAATTCACTGAAATATCTCCCACTGCAGAAAATCATCTTAACTTACACATTCTAACTGTTAAATTTAACCAAGTTGAGGACTATTTCTCAAGAAGTCTATGATCTGCTTTTGAGAACACACCGGCCTATACTAACACAGAAAAGAATACTACTGAGTTTTAACTATAAATCTATCATGATTTATTAACTAGTTATCATCTGGGAATCAACATCATCATTTCCCTCCACTATTCTATAGACCAGTGGTTCCCAAACTTTTAAGTTTGGCGGACCGGTGCACAAGTTTCGAAATTTTACCAGGGACCGGTGCATGATTTATTTTTATACTTTTATTTCTATTTGACAATGATTATTTATGTTATGGGGACAGGCAGCGTTAGGCATGCGGACCGATGAAGGTCCACGGACCGCCATTTGGGGACCACTGCTATAGACCATGGCTCTCGGTTCGGGTATACAACTGAAATAAGTTTCCAAGACGTACGCGTACATTGCAAGCTGTGCCGTACTCAGTTACCCTGGAATGGAATAGTTAGACTTAGTCTGATATTGTTATTTGAATTTCATCATCACACAATACTATATAAATCACCCATCACTTGTAAATAAATTATCCATTTATTGTTTATTTTGTGTTTGTTGCTATTTTGTATCCTTAAAAGTCTGTCCCTTAGTCTTAGCTACTTTCGAGACAGTGTCCTGGTAAAGAAATAATTACGAAGACTCCACCTACTTGTATTTTACCCAGATGTTCCCTACATTTTAAAACACAAAATCATGAACATAAATATAGATACTGCACCGCCGTTAATCAATATTTCATAAATAGACATGTTTGAAAGCGTTGTTTGGAGTCCGCATTCAAACGTCAAGACATTTAATGAATTAGTTATGTAGGTTTATGTTATGTAGGTTTATGTTGAAATAAATATGTTGTCATGACAACCTTACATGACTGCGATGATCTAGCTATATAATTTCATTCTAGGAATCAGAGTGGCAGAAAAAGCTTAATTCTTTTAAGCAAACCTAAATCCAATGCGGAGAAAATAGAAATGTCGAAAGAATTTCATCAAAAGTTTACCGATTTTGAGACAAATAATGTAACTATAGGCCTATGTATTATTAAATCACTACAAAAGCCCTTTTCATCTGTTCACTTCAAATTTGTCTCATAAATTTTTTTGTGAATTTGAGGCAAAAATGTTTTATTAAAACAAAAAAAGCACTATTCTTCCTCCCCCCCCCCCCCCCCTTTTTTTGTGTGTGTGCTGCAAATTCATCTAATAATGATATTTGACAAATCAAGTTTCCGCGCCAAAGAGAGACTTGCTATTACGGCTAATTAGTTTCCTCTTGAACAATAATCGACCTCATATTTTCACCAAAAAAAAAAGGAGTTTGCTAAATGACCGCTCTGCTGTTTTAACAATTAGCCTCCTGTAAAATCTTGCAGATCTCCCCCCTCCCCCCTTTTTTTGCGGAAAAAAAAATGAAACCTCTGAAGATACAAAAAAAATGTCCGTGTCAGGTTTACGGGGAGGAATTTATCAGAGGCAGCCAGTGGAAAAGTGCAGCAACTGCCTCAAATGGGCACATGAGGAATGCACACCAGGTCTAATATTTACGCAGGGACATTTAGCCCGTAAGGGCAGGTTTGGGCATTTGCGCCCCCCCCCCCCCCCCCCCC